GATTTTTCCACATTTCGTAAGGAGTCTCATCTTTCCCTTTAGGTGGTATTTTATTCTGGATATGATTTGCTGTCAAAACAGCTTCCCCCAACATGTTCTGTGGTAATCCTGAATTAATCAACATGACATTCATCATTTCTTTTAAAGTTCAGTTTTTGCGTTCAGCAACGCCGTTCGACTGTGGAGAATAAAGAGCTGTCGTTTGATGAATTATGCCATATTCAAAACATATTTGTTCAAAAGGAGCTACATACCCCTATCACTTTGGATTATTTTAATCTTTTTGCCGAGTTGATTTCAACTTCGGTCTTATATATCTTAAACGCTTCCACAGCCTCATCTTTGCTTCTTAATAAATATAAGTAGCAAAACCTTGTGCAATCATCGATAAAAGTTACAAAATACTTTTTACCGGTTCTTGTTTGCACACTTTTCATATCGCATACATCAGTATGGATTAAGCCTAATGGTTCAGTACTTCTTTCCACCGAGTGAAAAGGCAACTTATCCATTTTTGCTTCAATACAAATTTCACATTTTGTATTTGTCTCAACTTTAGAATTAGAAATTAATTCTAATTTCATCAACCGTTTAATTGCATTTAGATTTACATGTCCCAATCTAATATGCCATAAATCAGAGCACTCAACAGTATAAACAGAAATAGGCTTTTTATTATCAACGGTTACACGACTCACGGGCATTACATTCATTTTGAACAATCCTTTGTCGAGATAACCACGACCAAGGAATTTTCCACATTTGCTAAGAATAAACTTCTTAGTTTCAAACACTAGCCTAAATCCATGTTCAACAAGAAGTGATCCGGAGACCAAATTTTGGCGGATGTCTGGGACATGCAGAACATCCTTCAGCTTCAACTCCTTTCCAGAAGTGAGCTTCAGCACCACCGTGCCCACTCCAGCCACATCAGACGTGGAGGAGTTTCCCATGTGAAGTTTCCGACCCGTAGCAGGAGTGTATTCAGAGAACACCTCCTTGTCGGAACACACATGACGAGTGGCACCAGTATCGATGTACCACTCCCTTAGGTTATCCACCAAATTGGCTTCAAAAACCACCGCCGACATATCAAAGTCGGTCAATTCACCCGACACAGGGCCGTGTTCAGCAACAAGGGCACTCGGTTGCCCTTTATTTGGCCCAGCTTTCTTTGGCCTCTTGTAGTCTTTAGCCATATGGTTTGGTTTTCCACAATTGTAACAAGTTCCGATAAACTTCCAAACCTTGGCTGGCTGCTTTCCCTTGTTCTGAGTCTTCCTCTTGCTCGAGTTGCCTTGCTCTAGCAAGTTGGCACGAGCTTCCATCATCGGGACTTTTCCTGATGACTTTTGGTTGTCCTCCTCGATACGAAGACGAACTATCAGATCTGTTGTGTACAAATAATTTTTATTTTACCGAGCACCGAATCAAATGATTCGTTTC